GTTGCCAAGCATCTGAATTTTGATCACATGATCACAGTGATGCTACAAAGGTTGTAAGTGTGAAAAACGGCCATAAGTCACTTTTTTCAGTGTCATTGTAACTTTGAACAGTCACTAAACGAACTGTTGTAAGTTGAGGACTACTTGTGGTCATGGTTTTGCTAAACTCAGGTTTCCATTTTGTACATCATTGTGAATTCATTAACTGAACTCAAATTGTATTACTTTTGTTTGTATTTTGTATAAAGGAATTGGAGGCTATTTGTGTTTTTACTTTAATATTTTTTGCAATTTTAGTTATGGACACAGACAAATAACAGAAAAATATGGATTACACATGGTAAGGCAAGACAGAGAAATAAAAAGATAATGAACTAAAATAAATCAACAAAAGATAAGCTGACATTTAGTATGTAGTACCTGAGAACTCTAAACCACTAATCTCCTGATAGCACTAGTAGTTGCAAGAACCTGAATACCATATTAAATACTTCAGGAGACCCATGAACTAAATGAAAGCAAGTTCTCTCTTTTTTGTTCAGTCAGAACAATTTATATAGCAGGGTTATTATTTCATGTGTCCACCAAACAATGTAAAAAGGGCAGGGTAAATAAATGTTAGTAATGGACTCAATATCCCTCATTTGATAGGGACATAGTATCCCCTGTAATACCACAGAAGATAGAGAATTAACCCAGGAAAAACCTCTTTAATCAGAATCACTTGAATATTCAGTTCTGCACATCCCCGTGTAAAAAGGACGATGATAAACTGAAGCTTGTCCAGAGAAGAACGGTCAAGAAGGTGAAAGAATTGAAAATCAAGTCCTTAGAATAGCAGTTCCCAACCTTTTCTATACCCCACATCCCTGGAACGCTTCTGATATATTCTTGCACCCCTTATAAAAGTAATACCTGGTTTGAAGATGATGAAAGCGAATATATACTCAATTTGAGCAACAAACTTATTTAAACAAATTGTGAATGGCGTGAACTGAAAAAATAAGAAAAAAGTTATACAAATTCAAATATGTGCAAACAGTCAATTTGAATTTAATGACCTTTTTGCTGCTTCTTTATGATTTTGTCAAAACGTGGCACTTTGTTGCTGATAGTGATCCGCAAGTCTGCTTGTGAGTTCAGGCGATTTCTCGATTTTGTCTTGATTGACAAAAGAGAACTGAATCCTGCCTCACATAAATATGTTGTCGAAAATGGGATAAGGACACCCAGTGCCTTTTCACAAAGTCTTGGAAACCTATCTATTGCTTAACACCAATACTCCTCCAAAGTGTTGCTTTCAAATTTCATTTTAAGATCCGACTTGTCCGCAAATCAAGATCTTCCTTCAGCTTATCATCGTCTGACATTTTCTCCAAATTGTAGGAATATGGATCATTCTTCAGAAATCTTCAGGTCTCCAGCAGCAAAATATCCATCAAACGATTCTGACAGCATTTCCAAATGAGCCACGATTTCTTCATGCACAATTCGACCATTTTTTCAAGTGATGGAAAATTTGAAAAATTACCTCTTTCCACCCATCGATGCCAAAGAAGAAGCTTTTCTTTGAAAGCATTCAACTTTTCGCAACATGTCAATCCAAATTCTAAATGGCACTGATTCAAGTGTGTATGGGGCAGGATAATGGAGCATCTTCTGGAACACAGTAAATCATCTTAAATTAGTCCTTCGGGAGGATTTTATACCGTTGTGCTTCCAAAGCTCTATCCCACCTTCTCAAAAACAGGGCCTGGAGAGTTCTTAGGTGAGATAAATTCATCATTTTGTATATAAACATTCAGCAAATACGAAGTTTGTAATTTATAATTGAAGATAGATCACATGGCAACGGTGGCCATCAATGTCCCTTATCCATTTCCTTTGGGGCTTTCCAGACTTTCCTTTGTGTTATGGCTTTTGCCTGGGCGGAGTCAAGGCTGGAAAAGGAAGGACGCAAACAGTGAGATCCAGGAAAACAGAGCCTCTTGGCTTACTAAGACACCAAACTTGCTTGCTACCTCAATTCTGACTCTCGAAAAATTAACTGGAGTTGCGAAGTTTAAAATGCACCAAAACTTTAAGTCCTTTTCCCGAATTCATTCATTAGAAGCAGCTGCGATACTAAAACACGCAGGGAACGCTCAGGACCAACAGACCCTCTGCGATCAAGTGGTCGGAGAACTCCTGTCTGTCTGGGCACAACAGAGCGACTTTCTCTTTAAAAAGCTCACGAAATTCTGGTGCTGTTTACATTTTGAATTTCCAGCTTGGACCCCTCCAGGATTGACACAGCTTTGCTCCACCCCTCGCAGCAACCTGACGGGAAATGAGCTTGTTTGTATCGGTGGCTGGGAATGCATTGTCCTCACCCCTGTGAATGTTTTATCCCCGACCTGGTCAGCAGGTTTAAAATAGTTATAGTGAGGCCAGAAATTGTTCCCTGCCCTTCCCTCTTTCACAGCAGGTAAGTTTTTAAAGAGGGTATAAATATAAAGGAGGAAGCTGCCTCAACGTCTATTTTTTCATCTTCCGGATAGTTGCACCACATACACTAAATGGGTAAAGGAGTCAACTTGTGGTCTTAAAGAAGTGAGGGGTGTGGAAAAGAGATAGTTGGGTGACCGAAGGGTGGGGGGAGAGACTCTCATGTGGCCGAGATCTGCTACTGCTGGGCAGGGGGAGGGAAGTGATGTGGATCCTCTCCTTTCGCTTGCAAACTGGAAAAGATGAAGGAACAGGGCAGAAATCAACACGTAATATTGTGGGGGCCCTACTCCCACTCCTGATTTCTGAGTGCTTTTTTTAAAAAAAAATTCCCCAGAGAGCTGTTTTCCCTCCCCCAATATACAACTGATTAAACATAAAAGTCACATGTAAAATCTATGTGACTTTTCCAAATTAAAATATTTTATACACTTTAGCCCGAGATTAGATACTGATACAATTTTTATGGTACTGAATTAGGAAGAAATATGACCGAGGTGATAATTAGGTGCTAACCCATTAGGTGCTAAAACTAAACTTTCTTTCTGCTCTCGAATCTCTATCCCTTTTAAAAACCTTACCCTGACTCCAGCCTGAAGAGTTGAGGAATGAAGGGAGCAAAAAATTAATATCTTTCTGCAGTTTTTCCCCCTGAACTAAAGGGGGGGAAAAGTCATCTCTAAAAGTTGTGCAACAAAATGAAGGAACCTGGGTCTTTGCAAGCTTTAGCTCTCCTGAGCACCCTGTAGAGTCCAGCTAGGACTTAAAGGCTAGATTGTAGATTGCCCTCTACAGGCAGTCAGCCAGACAGCTAAAGCCTGCCAAGAGTGTCCTCCATTTTGCTGAACAACTTTTACACATGCCTTTTTTTTTTTAGAGATGACTTTTTTCGAAGTTGTTGGCGAAACAAAGGGGGAAAAAAAAGTCACCTGAATCAGACAAAAGAAGTTGGCCCTGAGCACATGAAACACTTCTTCCCACCAAGTCCCATCAACAGCTGCCAGACTGTTAACGAGGCAAGAGTAGCTGCCAGTCTTGTGAATCAAAAAGCAAAGACTGGAGGATAAAAAGGATCCTAAAGTCTGCCCACTCTTTGCAGTCTTTAGATGCAGACTTGATTGCTCTAGTTCAGTGGTTCTCAACCTTTTTAATGCCGCGACCCCAACCGGTCGTAAGTCAAGGACTAAACCAGTCGTAAGCTGAGTACTAAACTGGTCGTAAATCGAGTACTAAACTGGTCGTAAATCGAGGACTAAACCGGTCGTAAGTCGAGGACTACCCAACCGGTCGTAAGTCGAGGACTTTCCCTGCCTAGGAGCGCCGTGCATGCATGGTTCCGCCCCCTGTGCCGGCCGAGGCATAGCTGGCAAGCGGCAGAGACGGAGCAGGCCGACCACCAGCTGGCCCATCCCAAGGGAGGTAAGGCACCCGCCGGAAAAGGAGGAAAAAAATGGCGGACAAAAAAAAATGGCGGACAGCCTTGCTTGGCGACCCCCATGAAATGGTCGATCGACCCCAAATGGGGTCCCGACCCACAGGTTGAGAACCACTGCTCTAGCTGGTATCTGGCAGCCTAGTTGAGAAGGATGTGGATAAGTGTGAATGTGTGTGTGTGTCGGGGGGGGGAATAGCAGGTAGTCCTCAACTTATAACAGTTCATTTAGTGACCCTTCGACATTACAGTGGCACTGAAAAAAATGACTTCCAACCATTTTTCACACTTATGACTGTTGTAGCAGCCCCATGGTCATATGATCAAAATTCGACCGCTTGGCAACTGGCTCATATTTATGACAGTTGCAGTGTTCCAGTGTCTCTTGATCATCTTTTGCGAATTTCTGACAAAGTGAATGGGAAAGCCAGATTCACTTAGCAACTGTGTTGCTAACTTAACTGCAGTAATTCATTTACCAACAGTGGCAAGAAATGTCATAAAATGGGGCAAAATTCACTTAACTGTCTCACTTAGCAACAGAAATTTTAGGCTGAATTGCGGTCGTAAATTGAGGACTACCTGTAGCTCCCCAAAGGAGACAGACAAGATCCCTGATTTTGTCCACCCTGCTTATATGCCCGTTTCTTCTTTAGCTATAAGCTGCTTCAGCCTGGTCCTACAGTAACAAGTTTGCAGCAACAAATAAATCACTCCTTCTCACTAGGTCTAAAACTAATTACTGAAATAATATCAAACAATTAACAAAATAATTAATTTACATTTAAAAATGAAAGATTTTCCCAAGAATATCTATAAATATGTAAGATTGTGATAATCTGTCCAGCTTAAATAGAGAGTGGAATAAACAGACTGGGGAGCTCCCCTTAAGGTCCTTGAAGGCTTTATCTGTTCCCAAAAGAATGCAGTTAGTCTGGTGAGATTCTTGTAAATAGGTAAGCAACAGTAAATCAACTACTTTGATCAGTTCACATTGCCATTCTGGTTCTTTGCACCTGACAAAGACTGAAATGTTCCTGACTAGCTTTCACAGAAAGAAAAAGTATTGACCAGCACCAAATATGCAAAGTAATTGAAACAATTTTTAAAATACAAATGCACAATACACATATCTCAAGATATAGAGACAAAATACATACATACTTGTATATTAGACAAAATTACTAGTACAGTATTACTAATTATTATAATTATTATAATACTCTCCAGGTTAATATTTAGTTTAGTAACAATCCAAATTCAATTTCTTACCAAGACTATGTTCTGTTCTCCTCATATACTTTCCTTCCCATTCTTTTTTTCTCCCTGTCAAATCTCTAGGTGTTTGCTTAAAGCAACAAGCCCCATATTACATCCCTATATTAACCAAATTTTGCTGGTTGTCTTGAAACAACAGGCTGGAAACAAGCTTCTGTTCCCCTATATTTCTGCGTTCATGGGATTTCTTGGTGCAGTGGATCTCAATATTATATAGTCATTGATGAGCTAACCACTACAATAATTCCATTGTCCCACTAGCTACATTTAACCATAGCCTCCCTTGTTCTCAGACACTCTTAGCCACTAGGTGTGCTTTTATACAGATGGTGGGACTAAGAATTGCACACCTAGAGGGCTGAGATTAGGGAAGACCTTCAAAACCTATAACAAGATAATAAAGCCAAGTACTGTATATACACTAGCAGAGCTCAGAAGCTCCCCCAATTTCTAGCCTCCTTTTTCAATGCAATTTCCGCAAGAAGATTCTTCCAACCAAGCACTGATACTTCTTTACTTGTGGCTCAAAACATTTACACTGTACTTTACTCATAGCATTACCCATTACTTTTGATTATATTTGCATGCTGAGACAATTATGTTGCCTCGCAATAATCCATCTTGGATTTTGTTCGAACCTATATTCATAAGCAAGACAGAAAATAATATACTTTTCTGAGGGAAGCTCTGAGAAAGATGACAAGTTATTTAAATAAGGCACATATTCAGTGGTACCTATGGTGTACAATAAGATCTTAAGTAATACATTGTAGGAATAGCTATTTATTCTTACTAGTTCTTCTCCAAGATCAGCAATTCTCTGAATTACTTAAGTTTAAAAGTACAAAATGTTCCTGAATACTATCGCGATGCTGTGCTTGACTCTCCAAGAAAAGCTGATAAATCTCAGAAAGGCTTCTCAAAGGCCTTTACTTGTCAGTCAGGAAAAGTTTTTTTCTCAGGGTGTGCTTCAATAAGAGTAAGTACTGTTCTGCAGGATTAATCCTATTCCATTCATAAACTCTGTTGTTCAGCTCCAAAAAAATATCCAGCAGAGGCAGCTTTCTGCATAGAAAAAGGGAAAATGAGGGAGAAAAAAATATCTTAAACATAAGATTATATAACTTTTATAAATAAGTAAAAGCTGCAGGTGAACAGCTCCATATTTTGCAAAACTGCCCAGTTCTATTCTTTAGCTAAAGGTTATTCAATTACCCTAAGGCACACTTGGACTGTGCAGTATTTGGGGTGTTTGAGCATGCACAGATGCAAACATGGCATCTCCTTGCAAGGGACTTTACTTCCAAGTAAATAACTTTAAGAGAACTTGAGGCTTTGTGTTATGTTTCACATGGCTTCTCCCAAGTAAGCGCCACTCCTTGTATTACCTGGAGGATGTAACAGAGTAACACTTATTTTTTGAGGAATTCTTCAAGACGTTTTTCCTGTTCCGTACATGGGACAAGAAAGATGTGTTTGTATCAATGTTTCCATCACTTGTGTGGAACAGAGGCCTTATGTGTTTATGGCAAGCAGTGGCTCCAAGTCCTCCAGTTCCCTTCTATAAAGTAATGTATATAGAGGACATTGCTCAGTTACAGGGAAACCACTACATTTCTATAGTGTACTTTTGACACGTGTCAAAACTGTCCCACTTCTGTCACTTTCTGCAGGGACCAATATCAATGCTGTATCTTATTGCTGTAAACAAGCATCGGCAGAATGCTGTTTTCATATTCCTATCCAGTGCTTTTTTTCTAAAAAAAAAAAAAAGGTGCCAGAACTCACACACATCATACAACCCGCCTTGCCTACCCTACAAGGTTCCATCCAAAAAAGGTGCCGGAACTCTGTTCTGGGCGTTCTATGAGAAAAAAAGCCTTGTTCCTATCTATTTTCCATTCTCCCATAGAATAGCATGAACTCCTGCGTGGCTAGTATCTGACATAAACACCTACCTTTTCTGAGGATCCATCAGAAGGTCTGCCAAAGTGGAGAGATAATAGGATGATGAGCATGGGGATCTCTCCAGTGCAGAGGCATCCAATGTGCAGTGGCTCCAGAGAATGTCTGCTACTTGTGGGATTGTGCATAGATCTCCATCTGCTTCTGTCAGGCTGGCATTCCCTTGCCAATTTGGGGGCTCAATATAGTTCTGGATAAAAAAGAGCTTTGGTTTTCCTAAGAGATCAGGGCACCTCTCACCGGTAAAGAAATCCTTCAGCCTTTCCAGTTGAAATCCTGGAACACTATGGTCTGTGCAGAATATATGTTGATGGTCCCCTCGACTGACAAGCACACAAACAAAACAATCTGCATCTTTGTGAGCTCTTAGCCTTGCTACCTCATACAAATCATGCATCACTGCCTTCATATTCAGAAACCGTCGACAGCGAACTTCAAAATGTAGTGATTGAAAGGCTTTTGTCAACAAACCTACAGAAAAAGAAGCAGGAGCAAGAATATCAGGCTGGTCAGTAGGTTAGAGTCCAGGCTGAGGAAGGGTGACTGTTTTAAGATCCAGTTGTTGACATTTATTGGCCTCCTGCCTGTCTTAGTTACAAGCTAGCAGACATTTTTTAGCTGTAGTCACTTGCTAAATTTATTTCATCATCTTCCCCATATATATATTCTTGATATTGTTCTATCCTGAGGGCTCACTATCTCTTACATTGCCCTTGATTACACCTCAACCTGTTCATATTACATTTTCTTACTTTATATTCTGCTTTTTCCTTAGAGTACCTCTACAAAAAATTTTGAGAGGGAAGATTGCAATTTCATTGCATGAGAGCCAGTTTGGTCTAGTGCAGTGGTTCTCAACCTTTTTAATGCCGCGACCCCCAACTGGTCGTAAGTCGAGGACTAAGCCGGTCGTAAGTCGAGGACTAAGCCGGTCGTAAGTCGAGGACTAAGCCGGTCGTAAGTCGAGGACTACCCAACCGGTTGTAAGTTGAGGACTTTCCCTGCCTGGGAGCGCCGTGCATGCGTGGTTCCGCCCCCTGCGCCGGCCGAGGCATAGCTGGCAAGCGGCAGAGACGGAGCAGGCCGACCACCAGCTGGCCCAGCTCAAGGGAGGTAAGGCACCCGCCGGAAAAGGGGGAAAAAAATGGCGGACAGCCTTGCTTGGCAACCCTTGTGAAATGGTCGATCGATCCCAAATGGGGTTGCGACCCATAGGTTGAGAACCGCTGGTCTAGTGGTTAAGGCCTATGGCTAGAAACCAGGAGACTGTGAGTTCTGGTTCTCTATTAGGTGTGAAAGCCGGCTGGGTGACTTTGGGCCAGTCATTCTCTCTCAGCACAACCCACCACAAGGGTTGCATTGTAGAGAAAATAGAAGGAGGAAAGGAAAGAGTATTAGGTATGTTCGCTGTTTTTTGTTTTTTTTTAAAATAAGGACAGGATAAAAATAAATAAAACAAAATATATTACACTTTGTTTTGTGGTATGGTAATTTATATTGTCTGAATAACTCTAAAGTTCAGATTTTTTAAAAAAACATCGCCCCATATTTTTTCTTTTCTCCTTCTCCCCTCATGCCAAAATTTTCTCTAACTTATCCTCTTAGGAAAAGTCCATATTACTCAGTGTAAGACTGTGTAAATACCCATAATTGAGGGCTATAGCAATCTAACATCTGGCAATAAAATTTAGGAAGACTGGTGAGATCATTCTTATAATTAATGTCCCTAGTTTATACCATTATCATTAATTTGGCTTTCACAAAGGTTAACTGGTCTACATATTCAGGAGAAAGGGCAAGACTACAGAATTCCTCCATATCGATTTGATACCAATGAGACTGGCAGCTGTCTGCCAGCAGCAGAGGATCAAGACCTATAAGGAAAACCAAATGTTCCCCCCAAAAGTGTATTTCGCACACTCTACTACTTATTTTTAGATACCATGCTTTTGTGAAAAATTAGGCGTACCAAAATAATATGAGAGTAAATGCTTGCCCAAATGAACGTAGTGTACCAATTAATGTCTGGCAGGAAGAAGCAACTTGATTTCCATTGCACTTACCTGCATCATTGCCAATGCAGTCAATAATCAGGCAGACTCCTAAAGGTTTGCTTTGCATTCTGTACTTGTTGCAGCTCTGCAAAAACAGCATCACGAATGAAGCCTCTTACTTTACAATCATCAGCACAGCACACTTCCCATCTTTGCATCATCTATTTAGTTTTGCCTCTGTGCGGCAGAAAACGGTAAAGAATAACGGCTTCTCAGAGTCCTTTCTAAAACATGGGCCTTGGGAGAGCTGTGCAGTGCTTCAGATTCAAAGGCGAAAAAGACACAAAGGGTCTTTTTCTGTAGGGTCTGCCTGCCAAACTTTAAACCAAATAAAGACTTTTCCAGAATTACATTGCAGCTCTAGGGAGCAGACATAAAAGATGCAAAGGCAGTCAAGAAGTTGCAGGAAGGTACTTGCACGTTGTTCACACTAACCCAAAAGCAATTTTCTGCCTTTGCCTTTGAAGCACTGCACAATTCTTAACATTTTGCCTTGAACTAGGGCAGTGGTGGTGAACCTATGCCATGAGTGCCAGAAGCGGCACTTGGAGCCCTCTCTGTGGGCACGCACGCCGTCACCCCAGCCCCGCCTCCCCCCGCAGCCCCCTCCTCACCAACACCCCCCCCGGAAGAGAGTCACCCCCAGGCGCAGAGCAGTGCAGCCAAGCACATGGCAGCTGGGCAGCAGATGATGCTGTGGGGTGCGGGTGGAGGGCGTGGCCACCATGGTGCTGCAGGGCCGCCTGGGCAATCTGTGGTGGGCCGTGGATGGCCCTGAGGGCGGGCAGGGTGAGGGCGGAGAAGGGTGGGGACGGGTGGGCAGAGAGGGGACGGGCTGGGGCGGTTTTGGGGCACTCGGTCTCTAAAAGGTTCGCCATCACTGAACTAGGGTATACTGCGCAGGCTGCTTCCTTTGTGTAACTCTACCTGGGCTCAATTCTATACTGATAAGTATACTAGGGCTTTCTTGAAATGTTACATGTACAAATAGACACATATTTTTGCATGTGTGTAAATATATAACTATAATTTGAGTCAGAAATTTTTTCACTGGGAGTAATTTGGGTAGTGCCACAGGCCACACCCAAGTATGGTATGAAGTGTATGCAAACTTGGAATGAAGGGTTATAGATTGGACTCCAGCCGCCAAATACCCATAGACTGATATAAAAATAAATTGTCATGCAAAGCAAAAAGCCAATTGCAGTAGGGAGCATAGAGAAGCCTAAGGAGGCTGGATTTCTTATAATTGGCTTTCACGTTCCTCTGTGTTCACTGCTGCTTACGGTATTCTACTTTGCATGCCAATTTATTTATTTATTTATTATTTAAATTTATATACCGCCCTATCTTCCTTACGGGACTCAGGGCGGTGAACAGGCGATAATAAAAATCACAATAAATATTAAATAAAAGGCCTGCTCTAAAATACCCCATATAAAAACCTTTACTAAAACATAATTAAAACTACGCCAGGCCGGCCGCATGGAATAAATGGGTTTTCAGGGCTCGGCGAAAGAGGCCGAATTTGTTTTCGCTTTCACTTTTCATAGTGGGGAACATGTTGCAATGCATTCCATTGTTTAAAAAGGCAAAGGAAATATAACTTAATTGTAATAAACTAAACAAGGCAGACATTAAAATGCAATCAGTTATTGCCTAATGCTATATCACTCTTTTAATTCCTAAAAAGCTCCCATATTAAACAAAAAGATATGTACTGTTTATTGTAATTTTGCACAATACCTGTATTTCTGTTTCTGGAACGGATATGTGAATCTGTTCTGTTGTAGATATAATAAAAAAGTGTTGTTAGTTGCATTCTGCCTACATTCTTCAGAGTAGGAAAGCTAGTGAAAACTCATGCAAGTTTATATAAAGTAACAATCCTCTCAAACCTGCATAAGTGCTAACTACAATGCCTTTCACACTGGTATCTATTGGACATGCTAAATAGGAACAGGAATCGAAGTTCACATATTTAAACGACAGTAGGTTAGCAGCAAAGCTTTAGGATGACAACATTTTTAACTAGCCAAATTATCTTGCCAACTCTATCTTTGTCAGATGAAAATAAAACACCCAGGGAAGCATGAGTGACTGAAAGGCTGACCTATGGCTCTTAAATGAGATTTTTAAACCACATTGAGCATAGACTGGAAAAAGGTATTGTGATGAGTGTGAAACTGGGGATAATAAGAACTTATCCGAAAAAAGATGGGCAGAGAGTAGAGTGCTGGTTTTGAAAAAAAACCACACCAGTTCAAATGGTTATTATTTTTTTTACAAATATTCAAAAAAACACAAAATGCAAGATGTATTATTCCCAAGTAATCAGAGACAGAATGGCTATAAAGATACAATTGGGCTTACCCTGGACAGCACAGGCTCCGTTCATTACTCTTTCCCTGTTCACAGTCTGTAAAAATTAAATATCAAATCACATTTTGTTTCTGTTGGTAAACTTTTATATTTGCCTGTTTGTGATAGCAAAAAAAGCAAATTCTAGACAGGTAATTAGGAGAAAAGATACAAAACATAAACTGCTTAATAATAATATTGGCTTTCAACTATGATTACACAAATCCATTCAGAGTAAATCAATCAATGGCTCTAAGAACTAATGGAGCAGTCTTTTTCGCAGCTATCATACGATACTTCTTATCAGTTTTTTACAGCCTTCATAAACTGCTTGAAACATTTGACTAATCAGATTAAAAATAGAAGGCTAGACTGAATAGACCTTTCTCTAATCTGGCTGATCGTTTTTTTGTTCCTTGTCCTGCACATGTTTCTCCAAGGAAGATATATACCGGTAGACATATCTACATGCTCTTTTGTAATGGGAATATCATATGGCCTACACTTGAAGCACTCTCAAATTTAATCTCACCAAGTACCACTGCAGCTTTCAGATGATTGATTATCAATCACATCAATTTAAATACAGTAGTTGCCCATCTTGCAATGGCATTTTTTTTTTTTACTATAGTAACTAAAAGCATGCCACAAATACAGTCTGAAAAAGAAGAAATGCTATTCTGGGGCATTGTGACATCTGTCCTAGCCACTCTTCTTAAAGAATTTTGTTTTCAGCATGGCAAGAAGCAGGTTTTTGGAGAAGCAGCTGAGAATGGAAGGATGTCTGTGCATCCCAAAGGACTGTCTGATTTTACACAGACCGAGAATCCTTTCAAGTCCAGTGGTTGTATGTGGAATTCTGACAGACAACCATGGGTGATCTCCCAAAATGGTTACTATTGGGAAGGGGGATATATCCCTTATTAAAATAGCTGTCCAACAGGTAAAGGAATTCTCAAACTGCCATTTAACAAAATGCTCTGTAAATCACCCCTGGTTTCTCTTGATCAGATGGGCAAATTTCAAAACAAAACATCAAAAAACTTTCTGAGAAACAAAGATAATGATGGGAATCTGACTTTGACTTAAATACCTGTTCCCTCTTTTAAAATTGTTGTTTGTTTGAAACATCTCCAATAGACTACACAAAAAGATACAAAGGGGGAACAGAGTTCTCTGCTGCTCTCATCAACACAGCTGCACAATGGATGATTGCGAGTTTTAGGTCAACTCACTGAGGCCACAGATGATATTAGAAAATGATCAATCCCATGCAATAGATTCCTCCTTTTCAATAGCTAATGGCTGCAATTTGTCTATAATCTCAACTCAAGAGTCAGAGTTTGACTAGAATACTCATAAGCTAGATCTTGCCAACTCCACTTAGAAAGGACCAAACACTGCCATCTCATCAGTTCCCAGTAGTTAGACAAGTTTTTTTTACAGCTTCTTGGCATTGCATACTTCAGAAAACCCTTTCTCCCCAAATTGAGGAAACTATCTAATTACAATGCACTTACAATGCACTTACCTTTGGAGGGTCTGCTAGAGATAACTTAGGTAAGGATGTCTGAAGAGTCTTTGCATTCATAGGTGAAATGTGTACTAGAGCCAAAAATGGAACAGAGGTTTCAGAGATTACATCAAGAGTGATATTATTCTGCAAAACAACTATCCTGCTCAATTCTCTTCTATCTCTATATGCTAAATATAGTTTCATTTAAAAGTCCATCGCTACATAGGTGATTCCAGAGCCTTCCCTAAGAAGGAAATCCTACCTTTTGATCAGGGAATGCTTATGTTTCTAGTATTTATAAGAAAAGGTTCTTGCTATTAGGATTATGGGAACTGTTAAATCTATCTATGTGGGTGCTAAGAGTCACCATCTCACTGGCATAAATCAATGCATTTAATAGCCTGTAAGAAGATGAAAGTAGAAGAAATACAGGTAGACCTTGATTTACAACCACAATTGGAATCAGAATCTTGATTGTTGAGCATTCCATGAGACATCCACATGACCGCTTCATTCAATAACTGCAGTCTCGGCTCTCCTAGTTGTGGTATTTAAGCAACCATGTGAATTGTTAAGCGGACAGAGCAAAAGTGCTGCCTGGAGAAGAAGGCCAGACAGCTCCCCTCCATGTGTGGAAAGATCCTGCCTTTATTAGTTTTACAAATAACACAAGGAAGTGAACATTTCCAACATGCCTTCCTCTTCCTATTTTCCCCACAGCACCACCCCTGTGAGGTGAGTTGGGCTGAGAAGGAGTGAGCGGCCCAAGGTCACCCAGCTGGCTTTTATGTCTGAGGCAGGACTTGAACTCAGTTGCTTGCTTTCTAGCCTGGTGCCTTAACCAAACTGAATCTTGAGACCAAACTGTCTCCCTATCTTTTAATTTCTTAAGAACTGCATTAAGAAAAGTATGAAGCCATGAAACTAGTTTTTAGGACACCGTGCTTTAAACCAGACATGTCAAACTCACGACGTCATGTGACGTCGCGCAATGTATCGGAGCTTTTTCGCCATTGCCGGCAATGGGGTGGGAGTGGTTTCCCGATGACGCGTCCGGCCCGCGGGCCGGCAGTTTGACACCCCTGCTTTAAACGCTTTGGTCAATTCACTTAGCCTGAGCTCTGCAATTGCACTATTCCTTCCACCAGTAAAATTTCTGTGAGGACTTCAGTTTCAGACTGATAAATAATGGAATAACACAAGAAAAAATAATGTTTTTTATATATACTCGGAGAGGCTTCCTAGAGCCATTATAGAATCAAAGCAGATTTGAAATTCAAAATGCCTGAACAAGAATGTCTGGACTTTTGAAGGATTCAGCCTTCTACAAGCAGCTGAACCTGAATTGAGGGCAGTTTCAAGATGGAATGTTGGAAATTAGTTTAAGCCAAAACCAGAAAAGGAAATGATGGGGAAGAAAGGCAATTAATTGACTTGAGCCTTTAAAAAAAGTGAAATGACACATGCTTTAAAGTAGGGAAAGAGCTTGGGTGATCTTTGTGTAGCTATTTTCAACTCTCATTTATTTATCTTGTTGTTTATCCAACACTGTAGATACCTTTTTCATTTCTGCTATGAGAATGGTCATCACGTGCATAATAAAAAAAAGGAAAGCTTGCATACCTTACCATAAAAATTAGGCAATATATTTTTGTTCCTAGCCACTTCAATTGTTTTGCAAATTATTTTTAAAATGTTAACTTTAGGTTTTCATGTAGAGAGGCCAAAGATTTTCCTTTCTATGTTTTTCGAATTCAAAAGATAGCACAATTCATGTATGAAAAAAATATACCACCATCCCTTTTTTTCCTTTTAATTTACTTGGCAACTGTAAACTTACTCTTTACAAAATCTTCAAGGAAGGAGGAAGAATAGATACACAACATCCTTCGAGTATTGTGATTACTCTCTAAATCGAAGCTATCCACTATTTCACTGCTGTGCATCTGATAAGCTAGTAACCCTATACAGAAACAAATTGCTGCCGATATACATGAGGAAAGCAGAGAGGATAAATAAACTCAAGATCTTCTAACATATGCTCATTACCTACATGCCTGGAAGAATAGGTAGTATATGTTCTATATGTTTGTAGACACTCAAGATTTAGAATGAGGAAAAATCAAGGCACAGAATATTAGAATGCAAAGCTCTAACTTCTACTTGGTGTCTGGAGGATTGTTTAAACAGATAACACAAATCCCAAGGATAGGGCATGACCAACCAGTTCATTCCTGCATTCTCCCTCCCCAAATTCTCATTATGTGAGAAATAAACCTTTTATACATTATTGTACCATTTTCAACTAAGACTTAAATGCGTTGATGGCAAGATAAAATTATGGATTTCGTATTGTTTCAAAATCATGAAATCCAAATTTCTGGACTCAGCAATTGTGTTCAGATACTTACTACTAGCAGCATTCCTGTGCATGTTTACATATTTTATTTATTTATTTATTTATTTATTTATTTATTAAATTTATATACCGCCCTATCTCCCTTACGGGACTCAGGGCGGTGAACAGGCGATACTAAAAACCACAATAATAAATAAATAGTTTCTGTGCTAAAATCAAATTAAATACCAGGCCTGTTCTAAAAACACCCCATACAAAACCCCCACTAAAACATAATCAAACTACGCCAGGCCGGCCGCACGGAATAGATGGGCCTTCAGGGCTCGGCGAAAAAGGCGCAGGTCCGCAACTGTACGTAGGTCGGGGGGTAGGTCATTCCAGACGGCAGGAGCTGCCACAGAGAAGGCTCTCCCCCTGGGGGTCGCCAGCCGGCATTGTCTGGCCGACGGCACTCTAAGGAGGCCCTCTCTGTGGGAGCGGACTGGTCGAAGGGAGGTGTTTGGTAGGAGGCGGTCTTGCAGATACCTAGGTCCATTGCCATGGAGCGCTTTAAAAGTTGTTACTAACACCTTGAAGCGCACC